GGCTGAATGTGAGCACCAAGAAACCAAAACACAAAATAAAAAAAGTTGTTTTCTGTGCATGGGTTCCAAGCATCACATCCAATCCACAAAAGAAGTGCCTGTAATACAATAGCCAATTATGAACATTCCTGCCAGAAAAAAAAGATGACTCTGGGGACTACCATGTTTGCTTAAAACATCACTACCATAACCATGTCTCATTGATACCACATTCAACTAGAATCCAACAGAGACATTACTCTCAACCCACTCATTGTCACCACTGTGACCCCATTTGTTGATCTCCAATTAGACCAGAATCCAACAGAAACCTTCTGCTTGATCAACGCTCACTATCTACACCTAATCCCTTGTTGTCACTGCCATAACCTCAGCAACCAACATGTCTTACAATGTATCAACCCACCATACCAGACAAAGGTGTCAAATTCAACCATGAAGAAGGACCTATCCTCTGAAGCCAACTATAATCTCAGCCAATCAACCCAAGAAATTGATCAATTTGTGGCCCTACCGACACCCTTACCCCTAATTGCATTCCTTACCAATAGCAACTAAAGAACTACTTATGAAAAATTTTTGCCAAATTTCAAATTATTTGACAAATACACACTATTGAAAATTTAATCCGAGTTTGTTCCTTTCCTTTGTAAGCAAGCGCTTATTATAACAACATGTAGCCATAAGTGTAGACTACAGAAAAGTAGTAACTGTAGGAGACAGAAATACTACAGCCTTCATTTATTCATTATTACTAATTCAAAACAGAACATAGTGAATGTAGAAAAGAATAACCAATTCAAAAAAAAAAAAAAAATGATTTTCAGATGCTTATTTTATAGTGAGTATAAAAAATGATGAACAAAACTAAGCATAGTGTCCTGAAATTTTGTGAGGAGGAGGAATTGTTTAAGCATTTTTGTCTTTTGCTAATAATTTCATTCTTTCCCCAATTAATAAAAATCACTTTACCAAAAAAGTGTGATTCAAACAAACTGTCCTATGTCAAAAATGTTAATAAATAGTAACAGCAAAAACAGATCAAAATAGTTTTTGTAAAAAAATGTGAAAATTACTATAATAATCAAGATTAGTGCATAATAATAGAATTCACAGCAAGTTATATTTGCACACTCTATTAAGCTCTATAAACATAACTATTTTTTAAAAATATATCAAAAAAGTGTAATTTTTTCTTCAGTTGTTTAATGCTAAAAGTTGCAAGTAAGCTGTTATAAGTTTTTTATATTCAACATCTAGTAGTAAATATTTATGCAGCATTACAAGATTACAATGATAACATTTACACAGAGAATGAACCAGTCAAAAACTATGAAATTAGCAGAAAGTATAAATGTATTAAAATTATTTTCAAATGTATTTTTAGCATAAAAAAATGGTAGATTGGAAAAATAGTTGGGGATGGAATAAAAAACAATATATAGAATAAATACCGCATCAGTTAATACACACTGAAAAGTAGAATAAAATGCCACAAACAACTGAACAGTGTCACCTTGAAAATCATTGGCTACATAAATAAAAAGGATTGGAAAAATTATTTATTACTGTAAAAATGATTAATTTTGATGAGTTTATGAAATGTTGATTAAAAAATATAACCTAGAATAACAGATTACCAATTAAATATTATAATGAAAATAGTAACAGAGCATTAACCAGTAAAATATCTTGACTTAATAAAACAAAAAATACAGACACTTTATAAGAATCAATTAAAATTACCAATATTTAGAGACTGTATGAATTATTAGCCATTGACTTTTACAATTTTTATCATTTCAAATCATTGTTATGATTAATAGGCTAAAAAGTGCAACCTTTCTATTGCAGCTTTGCATTAGATCTAGTTTAGAGAAAATATATAAAATTGAATATTTTATAAGTAAACATTAGATGAAACAATTCATATCATTACTGGATCCCTTAAATTTTTAAGGTATGAAACAAAATATTAAATGATTAATTAAAATAAATAAACTTTGCACAAGAAACCTAAATCCTAATACAAAATTGAACAGAAGATGGTAACTAAGATATCAACAATTATTAGTTTTAAATCAACCATGTATTTTTAATTGAATAAAAATTCTTATGACTCAAAAATTCCAACATTTATATAACCCAATTTTTTAAAAAATGATTTTAAAAGTAAACTGTATAAAGTAAAATAAATTTAAATATATATGTAATGTAAATTTAAAAAAAAAAAAAAATAAAAAGGGACAAGCCAGGCAGAGTTCTGCAAAGAGGAATAAAAAATGCCCGACTTACATCATTTTTAATCTTTGCTGAAAAAAGCTTTAAAAAAAAAAAAAAAAAAAAAAAATCATGGTCCACAAATTCATATAAATAAAGTTTTGAAGAAAAATGATGAAGTGACAAAATATTTCTACTTGCAAAAAAGAAGTTGCAAAATGGGGTAAGAAGATCAGAAAGGATTGAGACTAAATCTAAGAAGGGAATTAGTATCAACAAAATACTGTAATGTACATGACTCCATGTCAGCATAAACTACCAGCTTAAAAACAGAAGGAAAAAAAGTTTCAGATTGGATCTTAACACTATCATTTGGTCAGTTAACTCAAATCTCACATCACTGAATTAACATTTCTAGGTTCATGTTTATCAAAAGAAATACAAGGACTTCATTTTTCATCTGATATTCTTATACTGTGATGGAAAAAAATTAACAAAGTATTGTAATGTACTGCAGGTCTACTTTGGTTTAGTGGTAAATAATGATTCATGGTCAGAGATTAAACCTGATCCAAGAATCATCATCTGATAAAAGCTTTGTTGGCAGAACATCCGTTTTTTGATGCAGTTTACATATGTAATTTTAAATTACTTAAGAGAGAAATGTGTTATCATTCAAATTAATTACATAAACAATTATTTGCATTACAAGAACAGAATCTATATTAGTGAGATAAAATTTACATTAAGCATCTGAATGTTCAATTTTTGCTTTAACTATCATTATAGAAATAAGATTTTACCTTTTTTAAATTATCATTATTAATATTATGGCTTAAGTAGCCCACATTTTTAAACACTAATTTAGTTAAAGGATATATTAAAATAGCCTGATTGTATATTAGTTCTAGGTAACTTGTGGATGGTAACATTTTCAATGCCTCTGAGTAAATTATATTCATTTTTTTTTATTAAAAATGGTGTTTTCCAGGTCAAAATTGTGATCAAAGATTTTAGTATGTTAATTGTAAATCAATTTTCTGTTCATATATTGTTTTTAAATATCAGGATATCTTGTCAATCAATTTTGGAAGAGCATCGTTTACATTTTATTTAGTAAAGTGCTTCTGATGCAAAATTCTGTTTAATATTGAGTAAATTTTTTTCTTTTTAGGCGTTTGTGATCATTAATTAAATTTCTTTTAGGCTCATTAGTTATAGAATTTGTGCCTAGTTTTTGTTTACATTTTTTGGTCTTGTGAATTTTGTATGCTTTAGTTTTGGCATTACATAGAGAATTTTAAATATATTTTCTATGTATTTTTCTTCAGGTAGCTGCAAATTCTAAAGGGCTCTGAAATAAAAACCTATAATTATTCACGATTTTATCTTGTGATGAGAGTAAAAATTTATGAATTCTTTTTATTTTTTTAATCAACTTAAACTACAGTATATCAAGAAAAGTGATTATTTATTCTTTTTTCATATGTGAAATTGTAGGTTTGATTTTGTTTATGAAGTCTGTAATTTAGTTTTGTACAAATATATTGAGAAGGCATCATCTATATAATGTAAGTATTTATTAATTTTGTGGTATGAGATTTTGAAATGCTAGATTCTAAGAATTATAAAAAGATGCATGCCAATAAGCTGCAGGGAGGAGAACCCATAATAAAACTGATTTTTTATTTGTAAAAATATGAAATAGTTTGTACAAAATAGACAAGTTCATTTTTTATTTTATGAATGCCTTAAATTTAGACATTTGTCAAAGAGTATGTTAGTATATAAGGGATTAATATCTAAGTTAGCAATGACTATTTCTATTTTCCTAGCTTCTATTAAAGTTATATATAGGATGCACCTTTTTAAACTCTGAACCATACTAGGAATTTTAGAAAACAAGCATGAAATTATATGGAAAAATTTTTTTCCTAAAAACAAACAAATGTATTAACATTTATGTAAAATTTGTCTTATAATCACTGCCATCAAAAATTCCTTCTTTTTACTACATTATCTCATTATGCAGACATGAATAAAATTTATATAAAAAAGTCTGTTTGAAAGAATGAGAAATGGATAAACTTCAAAGTATTAACTATTAAATTTGTATTTTAATGACCAAATGAATTTTTAGAACAAAATGCATAAAATTGTAAAATTCATTAAATTGAGAGTAAATCATACATGCTTGCAAATGAAAAACAAAAGTAAATAAAGGTGACAATAAACAATTTGGAAATATTACAGCAATTTTCAATATTATCACATAAGCTTCCACTTGTGTCACCTGTATGTACCAAGAATTACAAAAATGAACACTTAACTGATCAAGAAAAATAAGGCTTAAGCATTCACTATTCAAATAATTAGATCATCTTTTTAAAATTTCTTTTAACACATCCTTGGAATGTTTTTTTAAAACAGACTCAAATAAAAAAATTCTTACACGTTAACTTTAAATTCTGTATAAAAAAATTGCATTGTTAATCAGCTGGTCCAAACTTGTGAGAAAAAACAGATTTTTAAAATGAAATATATAAAATTCATTCAATTAAGTGTAAATCATACATGCTTACTAATGAAAAACACAAGTAAATAAATTCACTATATACAAGAGAATGTTGAAATGTTCTTGGCTTAACCCACTTCTCAAAGTCTGACCAAATAACAAAACCTCAGAATAACATTTTAGTCAGGCCAAGAATTTTTCAACATCCTCAGTATATATGTTAAAAAAAAAAAAAAAAAAAAATCTTGCACTGTTTATGACTTACTCTCGTCTCCAGCTGAATCTTGAGGCTGGAACCAATAATTGTTATAAAATCATTTATAACAATCAAGATAAACCACATATTCAGGAACTCCATTTCATCACACCAAAGTAGTTTTCTTCGAAATTGGTTCTTAAAGAAATCTGCTGTTTCCTGGAAAAGAAAGATGTTTTGATAAAATAACTGGTTAACATGAAGATGCTAACTGCATCTGGCATTGGTTAGAAAATGTTCATTTTCAACAAAAATTTGATATAATATACACACAATATATATATATAAATATATAAATACACACACAATATATATATATAAATATATAAATACACACAATATATATATATAAATATAAATATATATATATATATATATATATATATATATATATATATATATATATATATAAGGAAGTTCTCTCAAAAAAAAAGTTAACTGATTTTTAAGAATAAAAAAAAACTAGGACTATTTTAAATAATAAAATGCATAACTAGCATAAAATAAGGTCTTCTTTAAGTTTTTGCTTATCTATGGGTAAAGCTACTAAGTTTTGAAAAATTGTACACCAGACAAAATTTATCTGAATCTACTGATAAGATAAATCAGGTGCATATGGTAAACAAAGCTATTTCATCCAGAACAGGATATTACAGAAATATCAAATAATATCAGAGGAATGAGACTGAAATGAATAAGAGTATATCTAAAATGTTAGAGACAAATAGTAGAGTTGTTTATGAAATTAAAAAGTAATGACAAAAAAAATAAAGTATATTAGTATAATTCAATCAGCAAGCTTAGTTGAAAATTTCAATCATACTCTCTACCATCAAATGGTGAATTTAGAGAAACAGGATAATATTAATTAAATTAAAAAAAGTGGGTGCTGAAAAGTCTTGACTGACCCACTTCCTCAAATTTGTATTTCAATGACCAAACATAAGAAAAATGATTTTGGGAAGCAGGACAAACCAAAAACTTTTTCAGCACTCCTCTGTACTGTATAAATAATTTAAAACTGGCTAAAAATCAGTAAGTCATTCTGGTTTAAATAAAACAGCACTTTATTTGCATAAAGCAACTTTAAGGGTACACCTTTTTTTTGTGTGGGAAAAAAATGAGAAAAGCACAAAGAATTGTATTTTTGCAGAGTGCCATATTAGCAAAATTGAGAACATAGACACAAGTAGCATGGCCAAGTTGCATGTCTAAGTAAATCATTTCATCTAATAAAAATGCTGACATCATGTCAGTTAGTATTCACATTTAAACTTGGCATCATGAGGTTACATCAATAGGCAACAAAAGAGTGAGGATTTGAAACTACTGAACCTCATTATAAGCCAAAAGTTATTTTGTCTAAAAATGATATACCACAAATTTAAGCAAAATTAATCCTAAAGTTTGAGTTTAATGCCTAGTCTGTTTACAATTGATGGAGTTGAAAAAGCAGAGCTGGCATGCAGCCTGTGCAGTATAAGACATTACACCTTATGGGAAGAGCATTTGATGTTTACCAGCAGCAGAGCATAGAGGAAAGGTCAGATGCAAATTGGAAAGAGAGTATTTTACATGCTGTCTTTTCAATAGATTCATTTATTACATATGAATAATTCATAAACAGTGTCTGATGAAAGCCCCGGTTCCCAAACTACATGAATTTAAATGTGCTACTAGATTGACAACTAGGTCTCACTGTTTTGCTGTTGAATGTGCTGAATGCAAATGCCACTTCTACTTTAACAGTTTCTTTTCTTGCACTTCCCACACATCCCACGCTTTCAATTTCTTGCTTCCCTGATAACTACACTCTTCAAAAATTCAAGTGCAACAACAATTGCAATCTTCAGTTTTCTTGAACCCTATTCCTTTTTGTCCTTTTTGAAATCCTGTCCATTCTCAGTCTCCTCATTCTCTTTCACCCACGCTGCATAAACCCCTGCATTCTAGTGGTATCATTGCCTTGCTTGGAGTGAAATGATTAAAGGAAAAAAGGGAGGGTAGAAGAAAAGAAAAGTGCCTGCATCCAGATGAATCTATGAATGTACACCTGGAAGAACCTGTGGAAATTAACAGTACTATTTGGAGGGGTACCTATGAACATCTCTAATAACTACTGACCACCTGTTAGCTCAAAGCTAATGATAAACGACAAAATGGTGGCAGAGAAAAAAAGTTGTTGCAGCTGTACAATCAATAAATGTGATATAGAGTATGGGAATATTTTGGATTCAGGGTGGTCAAAATTCACACATTGCAGAAAGACACAACTGACGTCAATGTTTTAGTGGTACAAAGCAGATCCATGCAATTTAAAAAACAACAAGTGCACCTGTGTGTACTGCACTCTGTATAGGTACCTCCATGAGATCACTAAAAAAGAGCATAACATGATGAAAAAGATGCCAAATTTGACGAAAACAAAATTTTATCGTTTAAATGTTTATATTCAAGAGGAAAGATCAAAGTTTATTTTAATTATTTTAAAAAAATTTTCCTTCTTTTAGAACATTCTAAATTTTGATTAAAAAAAACCTTGTTTCTCTTTGTATCACCGGAACTAGTAAAATAACATATACAATTTTTAGCATGTTTTTTTTTTTTGTGTGACACACATTAATTTGGAAAATCTTGCAAAAATAAAAATAATTGTCGGATGTTAATGAAACTTTCAGAAACTATTCACAGATGATCGAAATTATTATAAATATATTTTTTTTTTATTAAAGTCATGGCAGAAATATTTTTTTTATATTTATTACTCCCCACCAACTAATTTTATGAAAACGCTAAAATTCGAACATGTCAGGTTTAATGATTACAATAATTTAAAGCACAAGGCTTTGAGGAATGCAAATCATGTTTTTTTTTGTTTTTAATTGGACCCCCCACCACCTGAAAACCAGCTCTGAATTGTAACATATAAAACTCAATAATACAAAGATATTATTTAATTTCAAATGCTTTTATTTTCTTTTAGTTGTTTTTATGAATATGGACAATATTTTCTGAAAGCAAAAAATTTTTTCGATGAAAAATGAATTTTTAATACAATTATTTGTTATTTCTTTAATTATAATAGATTTTTACATTTAAGTTGTTAAAATATTATAAAATTAGTTAAAAGCCGCATCGGGTTTTCTAAGTGTCCTTATGAGATAGATCTTTTTTTAGCGTGTTGTAAATTGTATCATTTTGACTAATCAGAAGATCTGCAGTAATTAAGAAATGTAATTTTGTGTTTATAATCGGGCTGTAATTATAAAGTACGGAAGACCAACCAGAATACAATTAAGTTGTGTTATTTGAGTTAAGCATTGTTCTCCACTGTTAAGGCCTTTTATTTTTGCGAAACACGTGTGGAGAAGTTAATTTGATTTTTCAATTTCAACTGAGAAGGGTACCTACAAGTATCAGTATCATTTTATGAAATTTATATGATCTTATTTTTATATTATTCTCAGTTATGACATTTTTCCATAAATGAAATATCAAGTTAATAATAAAATGAATGGAAATACAAATAACACAGTAAAATGTAATAAATGTACATAAAATTATAGTATTTTATGTACACTCCTGATAAAATTTCATAAGAAAGGTACCTATAAATTAATTAGATACCTTTCTTATGAAATATGAAATTTAATCTCACTCTTAACAGTCTTATTTTAATTTCTTTTATAATATATTTTCCATAAAGCATCGTAAACGTAAAGGTGTGAAAGCTAAAAAAAAAAAAAAAAAAATTAGAGCGCTGAAAGTTTTCCTTAAAAATAATGAGGTAAATAATTTGTTCACTTAAATATAAATAATTTGACTTTTCTCCTTCTGTAGAACAAATTATCCTCATGGAATCTGTCAATATGTCATTCATCACCTGTCAAGTGACGCGAAAGTTTATGACCTGCTTTGTTTTATTTTCAAATTACATCTTTTTCGGCGAAGAAGCTAAGTTAAGTTTGGTTCAAAATATTTTAAATAAACATTATAATTTCTGATTTTCTTAAAATAAGTTTTGAAAAAATGATAATTGATATTTAAAAGAATTTCAAAGTGAGATTTTCATTTTTTTTTAAAATGGAAAAAATGGAAAAAATGATCGATTAAAATTTTGCTGACTCAAAAAAAAAAAGATTTTAACGAAAATTTCGGAATGCTAGGAACGATTAAAAATGTAAAAAAATACCCCAAAAAATACTTTGATCTTTCCTCTTAATAATAACATAAACATTTAGACAATAAAATTTTTTTTTTCGTCAAGTTTTGGCGTCTTTTTCATCATGCTATGCTCTTTTTTTTAGCGATCTGTGGAGGTTATTATGTATTGATAAACTTGTTCAGACATTTGATCAGAAGGCAGTAAAGTATAAAACGGATATTTTCCATTTTGAAATGGGTATCATTAATAATGTGCATTTTGGAATTTAAAACTCAAAATAAATAGCCAAGTTTAGGAAAAGGATCAATGATTGGAATTATCATTTGAACATTCAATTTTTAATGTATTGCCACAAGTTTAAACACTAGCACATCATTTGAGATTTTTTTTTCAATTGAAACAAATGAATAGATGACCCTCCAAACTTTTTGCAACTGTTTTGAAACAGATTCTCCTTTTTAATCATTATCTTTCTTAAGAAGAAATAGCCAAAAAAAAGAGGCCATTTTCCAAGGATGTATCTACCATGATAAAGAGAAGAATCAAGTAGGAACACACTTTATCAGCAAAAAGAGATATAGTCCAGTGTTTCTTGTTTTTTGATTATTTTTTAAAGATACAAATATTGGCAGGTAAAGACAAGACAGAAACGGTAAAATTTATATAATTTGCATGCATTATGCAAAGAATTTGTCAATACCAAAAAATTAAAACTTAATAATTTTATTTATTGAGCAAGCAGGTATTCATATCAGCTCAAAATACTTTGAGGTTATGAAATATGTCATTTTCATATTTTTAACCAAGAGAAAGCTATAAACCATTTGTCAAGACAAAGAGCAAAATGAAATAAAAAATAAAATTTAAGCCTTCAATTGAAAGTATTTAAGTTCATAAAAGAATCTGAAAACATTGGACAGTCTGATTTATTTCTAAAATATTAGAAATTATCCATAAAATAAAATATATATATATATATATATATATATATATATATATATATATATTTATGATAAATAATAAAACCCGTTAATGTTGACATCTAAGATTTAAACAATCGAAATAAAATGCTTAGACACTGAGCTGTTGTTCCATTTATTTTTTTTATTTAGCAGCATCATGGGATCATTTAATGCAGAAATTTAATTTTCTTGGGAATATTAATTTCTTTTAAAAAAACGTATTATTGGTAATTTTTTTTCTTTACTATGAAAATATATTGCTGGAACTTATTTTTGTGTATAAAAATGTTTTCAACTTTCATAGTGTTGGATGTTTTTCAATTGAGGATTAACAGGTGCTACCATTCCAGGTCAGAGTGGACCTTGAAACAACAGCAATTAAGAGGTGATCCCATGCTTCTCAAAACCTCCTGATCAGAGACCTTGCTGCCAGATGTAGTTTCTCATCATACCCAGGACAGTGTCATGTCAGTACACCAATACTACTGGTTTAACAGGTTAATGAAAACGTTTCTTCTAATGAAATCCAATAAAAATCACAATCTCTTTTTTATATATTTAAATTTTCAATATCTGAATGTTACTTTCAAGTCAAATTAAAGTCAAGAAGTTAATTCTTCTTTTTACTTTCAATTGTCTTTCAGTTTAATTGAAAGACACTAGTTTCTATTATTCAGAGCAATAACAAATAAATAAAATCATAATGAAAATAATTTCAAGTTGAGAACACGTATACCAAGTAGAAAAAATAAAATTAATAAAAGTGTCTACCTTTCTTAGATTGTGTGCCCTCCAAATTGACCGCAGACATAAGATGAAAGACATTGAACTGATGAATATAACAATACTATCAAAAATTGTCATCCAAGTTTTCTTTTTTTTTTCACCACCTGAGGAAACAAGAGGAAGAGAGTTTTAGATACAAAAAGTAAGATTGGTCTAAAAAATTAATTAATTTCAAATTTAAAGATACAATATATTATCAGAACTTCAGACAAAAATGCAGCGTTTTTTAACAGGTGCATTAAAAAAATATATATTAAGAGAAACGTGAATAAATTTTGTGTTTTTGCTTAAGTCTCTTAAAATATTAAATTTTAAAGTAGGTTGAGATTCCCCAGAGAAATACAAGAAAATACCTGAACACTATCATTGATATTTCAAATTCAATACCAGAATAACTTAAATGTAGCTTCAAACAACTTTTTACTTCAAGCTAATTTAATGTCTCATTAGTATAAAGATCTGTTAAAAAGTAATTTACCTGTTCTAATTTTAAAAGTATTAGAATGCATGTGTTTTTTTTTTTGGGATTTATGAACCATATTGCCTAAAAAGTGCAGTCCGTTAAAGAGATGGAGTTTAAAATTTCTTTTTACCTACTCATAATCATCTGTCAAAATAGTCACACCTTTTGAGCCATAGAGAAAAGAAAGAGCTGACATTAAATTTGTTTTTAGAAGAAAGCTCTGCATTAACAAAAAGTTAGTAAATGTTTGGACTGTTTTCACTGATTTAAAAAAAAGAGATACCTCAGCAATTAATGATTAGAAAAAAAAAAAAAAAAAAAAAAAAAAAAAAATGACTTGCAAATGTTTATTCTCGTTTTGAATGAAGATAATGTAAAAATAAGCTGATGTTGCCTAACAGGAACTACTACAGAAAAATTTATATTATGATTTAAATGGTATTAGAACCTGCAGTCCTTTGAAATAATATTTAAAGGTCTGTGCAAAGTGGATTCTCAGAATTTAACAAATTCCCTTTTTGACCTTTAGAACAGCTATGTCAGAATTTTTAAAAATTACAAATGTTTATCCTTCATTCTGAAAAAGCAATTGTTCTCTATTGATGAATGAATGGGATGTCATTTTAAACCTATGGAATTGGTATTCATATGGATATCTTAGTGTGCTTCTACTGTTAAGTGTGTTATAATTAAAAAAAAAAAACTGACATTACTTTTTGACAAACCCTCATGGTTCTTAATTTAGTATTTCAAAATATTCAGATAGTTAACACAAAATGTGAATCCTTTTTGTAGATATGTAATACCTGCAAAATTTATTTTTATACATTTTGTTCAGACACTCAGAAAGTCTGCTGATTGAATTATCAAAAGAAAAAAAAAGAGAATGAACTAAATATACTTAAAAGCTTTTATATAAAGAATTTTCAAATTTTTGAAATGGTGATAAAATTCATTTCATAAAATCCTAACAAATTAAAAGTAAATTAGTAAATAAATTTTTAAAATTAAAAAGTAAAGAAAAAAAAAGAAAATAATCAAATGAATATATGCCATGTATATTTCAATTATTGTAATGTCTTTATTAAACTAAAGATATCTCCCTGGCACTGGCGACACCCAATGGCAGTCTTTGTTATGGCAATGACAGACTGTACCAACATTTTTATGAAGCCAGGAGGTGAAAAAAATTAAGTGTTGCAGAGTATAGGGATAATTAAGAAAAATATTTAAAAACTCACTAATAATAATACAGTTTACACAAAATATACTGTTGTCTGTCAACTAGTAAAATAATGACAGTGTCTATAACCTATTCATTAGAAACAAATTCTGAGAATACTGTCACTTTAAAAGCACAGCTTCAAGATAGCCGTATAGGAAAGAAAAAATGCAGTATAACAGTATTTATAAAATTCAGTGAAACTAATTTTTATATAAATTTTAAGTACACTGTATCAGATTTTATTATGAATGTCAAAAGATTAGGATATACTTATATCAGTAACATCTTTAAATAGCTATCCTTATTAAAAAAATATTGATTATTTGTTTATTTTTTGGTAAGAATGTCTGCATTTACTATGCAAACAAAAGTGCAAAAGGACACAGCCATCAGCTTTACATTCAGAAATAAAAAATACTATTGAGAAATTAGTCTTCATGTATTTCATCCAACATATAGATTTCTGTATGACATTTACTTAAAAATGGTAATTTTATTGCTTTCCTGTTTTTAGCTACAATTCTTGATATCCTGTATCTTTTCTATTTACATTTACAACACTAGCTTCTTTGAGTGTTTTATTGCTGAACAAATCAATTTTTCTTTTTAACTTCATTCTTAAAGCCAATTTTATTCTTATCAATATTTTCAGTTACTTTTTTTGAAATTTCTTCTTTCTCTGTTTAACATTTATGTAGTTTCTAAAGTTATGTTCCTCTCACTTTACTATATCTTGTTTCTTTTGATGTTAAAACCAACGGAAATAATCATATATATCTAGAATTAAAAATGTCAATAACTATACTATTATATGTATGAAGAACCTTTGAGTTGCATAAAATCTTGGTCCACCAAATGAATTACTGTAAATATATCTAGTAAAAACAAAATTAAATTCACATGGTCTAATCATCATAAAAATATCAGTATTTAGTATCAATTTTGTGAAAACAGACACTTGTATAATAATAATATATGAGTGTATTTTGAAGAGAATTTTGTTCTGTGCATTTATAACTTATATATATATTATAAATTAACTGATTTAAAATATGTTTTCTTTTTCGAAACATGTTAATAACCAAAAAAAGAAAAATGGAAGCTAAAAGCAAAATTTAATTTTTAATTGAATTAAAAACATTAGTTCCATTTCAAAAATGAATTTTGTCATTAATATTATGAGAAACTATATATTACTAAGTTTATAAAAAATAAAAATTTACTGAATCAGAGAAATGAATTGGCTATTTTTTGCCGTCATTGTCAAAAATTTTCCTTAAATAATATTTAAAAAAAAAAAAAAAAAAAAATGTGACCTGGTAATATACATACTTATATTTGATATGAAAAAATAATTTTATATACTGTAAGTAATTCTATTACATTTACTTGTTTAAAAAAAGAAATATAGTCTATTAAAAATTACAAGTATTTTAAAAATATTTTAAAATTGTAGTTAAATAAAACGTATTCTAACCTAAACATCCCCAAAAAAAAATCTTTAAGTATACAAATAAAAAAAAAACGGAAGAATGAGAATTTTTTATTTGTTGCAATAAAATAAAAAAAAACCCCAGACATGCATTTAACTGATGTCAGAATTTGTTGAAAAATACATCTCTACCCTACCTAAACATAACCCTTTTTTTGAATGTAACTAATAACTGATACAACAAAAGTTAAAATGAACACGCTACCACCCCTTGTCTGAATGATTGGATCTCTCTGTATCCTTGGAAACAGTGAATTATGAATTTTTCTGTGCCTCTAAAACTCAGTAAATTTAAAAAAATAAGTTACTCCAAAATTCACTTCAAGATGAAATAGAACTAATGTTTTTAATTCAATTACAAAATTAAATTCGAAGCTTTTAGCTTCTATTTTTGAAACATGGTTATTACTGTGTAGCGACAAAACCATATTTTAAATCAGTTAATTTATAATATTAGTGCTCATTGTAAATTTACAGAGCATTATTTTGTAAAAATAAAAATATCAATAAGAACACCGGATTATATATCTTACTGTTCTTTCTTTTTATTTATATATATATATATAGATATATATATATATATATATATATGAAATGGATTAAGTCCAACAATTATTTACTTTATTTTCTGTTTATACATCATTTCAATAGATATAATTTATTTAAATAAATGCTCTGTTTTTGTTTTTTTAATAAACAGTATTAATTACATTTACCAGTCTGAAAGTTTGAGAAATTTTGCAGAAAATAGGTGCTTCTCTGACAGGAATCAAACCTGTAACCCTACTGTTTCGTGAGCAGATATGGTAATTCAGGAAAGATTGTTGAATGTTTGTTGTTTAAAAACAGTGATGTGGACTTTGCTAACCAGACGGTTCTTTGTGGCTGAATGGTTAACAGCACATCAAATCAAATGATGGTTCCCACTGGGGTTACAAGTTCAATTCCTGTCAGAGAAGTACATATTTCCTACAAAATTTCTCAAACATTCAGGCCAGTAAATGTAATTAATACTGTTTATTTAAAAAACAGTATTTACTTAAATAAACTGTATCTATTAAAATAATGTATAAACAGAAAACATACACATACAAACACACACACAAAACATCACAATAAGGCAAATCTAATGTTGCATTACATGGGCTAAATAAGAAAAGAAAGTTAACAAACCATTAAAAAGTACTTTGCCACGACAAGGTCGCTCACTAATGTTTGGGTTTAGCAAAACCAACATCTGGCCATCTCTATTGTTGTTGTTAAAAGTGATCTATTAAAAGAAAATAAAATATTTCACAAATGCGTTACAGATTTACTTATCTGCTCTTGAACAGAATTATCTACCTTTTGTTTTGTGAGAAACACTGCAGATTCTAAAAAAATAAATTACTTTTCCAGTCTACCAAGGTAACCATTTCTCAGCTGTTACTCTAGAAACAACGTAAAATGAAGAAACACAAGTTGTGATTTCAATGCTGCTGGCATGATGTCATTGTTTGAAGATATAACAGAATTAAACAGTAGTGAGATGAAGGAATTATGCAAAGTGTGAAGTTTTCTTTTGTTTGTTTCTCCTGGAAAAAATATGACAAATGACAAGCACTATTATTGTTATTGGAGATAAAAGTATGCAATTCTTCAAGGTCTAGTAAATTTTGTTTTATTTAACAGCAACTCCTTATAGTTCATTTAATGCTGGAATTTAATTTTCTTGGGAGCTTTGAAGTAATAAAAATATGATACATGTTATTCTGTTTTCACAATAGAGTACACAGTAGATGATACTCAGCTTTTGTTCATATATAGGTTTGTGTGGACATAGTTACTATAGGTGGTGATATGTGTGTTTTATGTTGTAGTTTTGTTGAAGTTATATTTTGGAATACAGTTTGATTTATTTAAAAAAATTGCAGAATATTACATACTTAATGTCATGAAAGAGTTCTTTCATGTTGGTTGTTTGGCTGGTTTTGTTTAGTGGCACATCAAACTCTATGGGTTATTTAATTCTGAAATCTAAATATGCATACCTTCAACTACATATAAAATTAGGTACCTCTACTGAATTTTCAATACCTAAGATTTAAAATGAATTTTTAAAAATGAAAATCATGCTTGAAAATTTCATTTTTAGCTTTAATTAAAAGCTAAAGGATTAAATTTACTATTTTCAGTAAGAAAAATACTCTGATGTATTTCAAATAAAAATTATCTTTGACTGGAATCTCAACTTTTTGCTCACTTTCACAAAATCGGCCATCTTTTATGCATTTTGGCACATTTGTAAACAAAAATTAATTCTAGGTTTTAAAAATCTTCCAAAAATAAAATATACTTTTCTGAAATTTTATTTGAGGAATATTAGGTGATTTAAATTATAATTAATCTGACTTAAAAAAAAAAAAAACACTATTTACTTTAAGTTTAAAATAAGAGAGAAATGGATTTTTAAAACAAATGGTAGCAGTGATCACTCATAGATCACTTGACATGCAATGATAAAATCTGTCAACACTTTTACCATTGTTCTACAGAGACTTTATCTGTTAAAACATAATTTAAGAAAATGATGGTTAAGCACCTTTTTTATATAATTATTAAGTACTCAATAATCTTAAAAATGTTGGAAAATATTCTCTGTAATGTAATTTTAGGAATGTTGAATTTAAATTTATTATAGTCATCCCTCTTATTTTCTGACTGTCGTGTATGGTCGACCATACTTTCAAACGGGGGCAAGTTATGTAATATTTTATACACATAAAAAAAAAGTTTTTTTTTTTTAAATATCAAGTGTAAACAACTTTATTTTTGATTCTTAAATATAGTTTTTACTTAATAACAATATCACCAGATTGAAGTAATGCAGAATTTTAAACAATTTATAATATTATAAATTATATTTAAAAAAATGAAAACAATTCTTGTAAAAATTCATTATTCATTGAAAAAAATTTTTCTTAAGCCAATAGTGTTCTTAATAAATCTTATTTATAAAAGCAATCAAAAGCTTTTCTAATTAAATAATGTCATAGTTTTATCGCATTTTTTATTTCAAGATTCAGAACAGATTTTCAAAAAATGAGTAGTAGTTTGAAAAAGAAAAAAATATTGATGATTTACATTCTCCAAGGAGACCTGCTGTATTCTGTCAGGCAAACAAATGTTCATTCTCTGAAGAAATACCATGGGCTTATACTGAACTCCATGACAGAACCTATTACAAAGAACAGGTGATATAGAACAATCCAACAACAAAGCATTAGTTTCTCTTAGCTGGTGGTTGTGAGTTCAATTCCTGTGCTGCACAATACATAAATATATAGAATAATAGCATAAGCCATCATACAATCTAACATTATTGATTGTAATACAATTGAAATTACTGTAGCTTGATGTTTGGTAATATTCCCCATATATATATATATATATATATATATATATATTATATATATATATAGCTTGTAGTCAGAATAAAAATAAACTATAAATAAATAAGTATACAATCCACCCACAAAAAAGAAAGTGATGTAAAATTGTTATATAGGAATAAAGTGTTGCTGCCAAACTGTAGTTTGAATATAGATCACCGGCAAGCAAACACATTTTGAATAAGTAGATCACATGATGACAAAGGAAATGTATATATGTGAATTAGCATTGTGTCTAATTGATCACCATTTTTATTCTATCCTCTATTACTATACGGATCACTCTTTCTATGTATCCTCTATTACTATACAAATTGCTATTCCCTATACTAATCACTATATGGATGACTATTCGATGGTTACTTTCAAGTGAGTATTATCAAGCTAGTACTAGTAGTGCGAGTGTTATTCAAAGGCGTCTGGCACTAGTATTGTTCAACGGTGTTACTATAGTATCTGCAATTAGTCTCTACTACAACAAGTATTACAAAAGTGACAATGAGTATTCGTTGACATTACAAAAGTGGCAACGTGTGTCCATTGACATCATAAAAAAAATTAACATCAAAATCTTATTGGAATAAAACACCTTTTGAAAATATTTAACAGTAATAATAATTTAAAAAAATGATTCACTTGAGAAGTTTTAACCATTTACAATGTATTGACAAGATACATTGATAAAGTACTACATGAAATAATACAATTTATTTTTCCTACCTTGAGTAACAAACCAATTCTACATAATTTTACCAGACCCATACTACTGGTAAATGTGATTTCAACAGCATCTGGTTAGCAGTATCCTGGTATTTAGAAATGACAGCAGTCATAAACAAATGCAATACATATAGTTCTAAAGAACTTCATTTTTCTAAGTTCTAGATTTTATTATTTTGACAGTGAATCAAGAGAATTCATAGAATGTTAGTGATTATGGCAACAATCAATGATGAGATTTCAACAATACATCACCTTGACTTGTCTCACTAAAATGAAAGAAATTAATGAAAATTATCCTGCTTAAAAAGAATAAAGATTTCTATCTCTAGTAATTAAAAGTCCAAGCACAAAGTTCTAATAATTTTAAAATAACTTACATTGACATTCATTAGGAAACATAATGGACAGCGATGTGGTGTCTCTAAGTCTAAACGGACAGTATGTACTTTGAATTTTAAATTTATCTGTAATAGTCTGAAATTAGAGAAAAACAGAGGAAAAATTATAAAGTAGATAATTATGAATGTAGTGACTATTTAGTCTTCTAAGGATTAAAGCAGTGGCATGTTGATATAACTTAATGAAAATAATATTTTGCTCAAATGTAGTAGACATTTTTTCTAGTTAAAAAAATGCATACAAATCAAAAAGTAAAACATCATAAGTGCTTATTATTTCCTATGGCCAACTTTTGTATTTATAATCAAAATGGATGCTCTTATACACACTTTTTAAAATATCTAACAAATTATGAGTGATACATTATTTTAAAACTTAGGTTTATAGGTAAAAATTGATCCACTGTTTTGTAAGTACTATTAGATAAGTCATGCAAAGTATTATATGGCAAATTAAATCATGCTTTCTTAATAGAGGAAAGTTAAGTCTTAGGTTAAAAATTCATAGACTTAAAACATTGAGAATTGTCATTTATGCAATAAAAATTTAAAAATTTAAGTGGTTTATATTGTTATGTAGATTTAGATAAGCGAAAGTATAATGCTTGTAGTGATCATAACTAAATAATAAAGCACTATTACAAATAAACACTTGTAACACTTAAATGTCTTAATTAGTCATCAATACACTTGAGTATTATTCTAATGCATTAAAAACTAATTATAACCAATTTTTATATAAAAATTTACCTGTCAAAGTCCAAAGATGCCTTTTTTTCTGCCAAATACTGTTTGATATCAAAAACCTGTGTTCCATTTTCCAAGCTTACTTTCAAAATTGGGAAACAAGCTAAAAAAGAAAATATAAATTAGTACCAATTTATTTTAAATTTTAAGATTATTTTCTAAAGCGGATTTCTACAATTGAATTAGTCATAATTTACAGAGGATGTTTTAAAGGAAAAGCGGCTCTTAAGCTATGTTAAATCTGCACTGATATCAAATTTTGTGTTAGGCTTTTTAATATTCCATAAACCATCTTAAGCATCAGTTTTATTGTAAAAGTAATACATAGCAGAAAAAAATAAAACCTTTTATACTTTAAAGCAAGTTTTAGTTTATAGTATGTTTTTTTTTTCTTTACTTCATTCAAAATTTCTTTGTGTATATAAGCTTATGAGCTATGGTAGCCATAATAAAAGATAATTATTATTTTTATGATCCTCTTAACATGCTAATTGCAGAATTTCTGTATGTAATAATTTAAAAACTACAATTTTCTATTAATCTTCTTTTCTTAAAGTGTTAAACTGTATATATTTTCAATTATTAGAGCAGTTATTAATTATTAAAAATGTCTCAGAAATGTCTAACAGAATAAAGAATTTTAAAACAACACTATTTTTTCTGATTTTTCTAATTTTCATTTTCAGGACATTTTCCAAGTTTTTGGTTGAAGTTTCAGAATTTGAATGGATTTCATTTTTCTGAGTACTTATAGAAACAAATAATTTTAGTATCTAAAATATATAAAAAGTGGTACATATACAGATTTTTGGTAGGCTTTATCAATTTTTTTTTTTTTTTACCTAGAAATTTTCTCATAGAAATTATTACAACACACTGTTTTACAAAGTCTAAACTTTTTAAAATGTAAAAGAGTCTGGCTCTATATATTGGATAATTTTTATATCAAATTTTCTCAAGGCTACTCTTTCTGGTGACATAAAGGAACAACACAGCATTTCAACACTTTAGATTACTATAGTGAACTCTCATTTCATTTCTAGGGACAATCATCCACAAAATATTTTCATGTTGGGCAAGAAATAAAATGCAGTTGGCTAGACGCTTCCCTGACAATTCACATGGAAGCCATTTTCCCCATTCTTTAAAATCTATCCCATACTTTACAAGTGTCAAGTGATGAAGCTTTTCAACCAAATTCAGGTTGAGAATGGAAGTCATCATTCAATAGAGACTTGTCAGTTATTATTTCCAAATTCTTGTGGTCTACTACTTTATGATTTATCCTTCAAATCAAACTAATCTTAAATTTTGCAAACCATTCAGGACACGCATGTGTCCTGAATGGTTTGCAAAATTTACTTACAATAAAACTATCTCAACAGGCTTCATCATAACTCCTATTGCTGTCTTGAAAAGAACAACATGCATTATCACCGAGATGCGCATCTTACCAACCAAAAATCTTTTTCTTTCTCTCAATATGAGATAAATGAATAACACTGAATACAGACAATTCAAGATTGTTTTCAACTGTGTTTTCAATCTCTAGTTATGGAAAAAAACGTTTACATCCACACCAAATTGAGGAACATAAACTTAAAAATTATAAACATTTTTCAATGTCTATCAGCATACCAAGTACAAGAGATTTTTTTAGAGTAAATTAAAGATACATATAAAATACTTATTAAATAATTAGAAGATAAATCTGTTGTATCACCTGTCACAGATTAAAAATCCCACAAATGCACCAAATTTCCATGTAAATATTGTTATCTCATATTAGCTGGGATTATTTACATAAGTGAGAAAAAAAACATCAGAGATGCAGTATATATTCAAATAGATTTTTTAACTAATGTACAACTGTACAAATGTATAATTTTACTTATATATGAAAATAATGGTTTTCTTAGAATCAAAACAGTCATTTCTTTTCTCATTCCAAGCAAATGAATTACAACTATATAAATAATTCCCACAAAGGAAGATAATTGTAACATGTCCAAAATTTAGTGATAGATTACTATGAAATCTGCTTTGTATATTTAGGTTCCCATATGTTGATTTATTATTCTGTTCCCAAGAGTAATCTGATGGATTTAACAAGTTACTAGCATTATTACTATTTTGTTCACCATAACTAAGCCCAAAGAGATAAGTAGGAAAAAAAAAAAAAAAAAAAAAAAAAGGTATAATGTAATGACTGATACAAACTGTTAAGCACTGTATCCTCACCAAGTATACTGTATGGGTTTGAATGTATCCAAGTAAATTTTTTAGATTTTACTAACATAATTTAATAGTAATATTTTCAAAAGTCTAAACTAATAAAAATAAAGCAAAAACAAAATACTTACATTCTGTTACCTTGGAATCATACACAAAACTACCATTGGGAAGGACTTCTCCAGTAATATAATTTAATTTGCACATCTGGATGGTGGGAACTTCTGTTTCATTTTGATGCCAATAATGATATCCACCAACTGATATTGTATCCATTTTACTATACTAAAAAATTTGTTAAAGTTTTTAAGTGTCATGGAATCAGCTACTAAGTTTATATAAATGCTAATAAGTTTTAGTTAAAATTTAATATTTTTAAAAATATAAATCTTTTAAAAAAAATGTGTTATAAGATTATTTCATAACTTCTTTCAATAGTATTTAAAACTTTAAAAATTTCTTAATGTTTTTCATCAAACTTACTGTCATTAATATTCAATATCTGTCAATCTTTAAGAAACACTCAAAAAGTTAAGATTACTTTCCTTTATGTTCCAGTTAACCTTTTATTTTTTTATTTTTAACATTTGACAAATATATATATATACACATAAGAGTACTGGCTTTAAACAAAATTAAATCACCTAAATTTCATTACAGAAAAAAAAATAGTTTGATTTTTTGTTTACTGTAACAATTACAAAACTAGCCTATAAGATTTATTACAAAAATATATATTGTCACTAGTAATTTATGAACTTACTTGATCTGCAGCAAAGTTAATGTGAGCATACAAATCCTTAACTTCATACAAAGCATAAACACCTGAGGCTGGTGGATAAGGAAGTGTTTCATATGCAGCATTCCAATCTTTTAGAAATAAGTGCTTCAAAGCAATCGTGTTTCGTTCAACATAATCTACAAAGCTGCCACGTTCAACTCCAAAAATGTATAACTGAAACAAAAATAAAAGTTACTTCAGAATAAAGTAAAAAAAATAAAATCAAACAGAAATGTGGAAAATATCATAGCACACATACGTTTATGAAGTTAGGAATGCATAAATCTAACACAGCTAAGTTGTGTGTGTAGAAAAGATGAAATAATTAAAAATCAATTGTAACCTAAAAAGGTTTCATGAAAATATTTTATTTCCAACTTTGTATAAACCATTCAAGGCCACAGTCTATCAAAAAGATAAATTCATAAACAACTTACAAAATCAGCATGCCTTCTAATGTACAATCAAATATTCCTAAATCAAGCACAGTTGATTTATAAACATTAATCTTTAAAGGATTGGAAATGTTTCTTTTATTAAACTGGAAATTTATTGTTTTGCCTCCCACTGAATTAAATAATTGACTGGATAGCAGAGAAACTTGCCATTTTCACAAAACCTTTCCCCAAAATTAATTTTGACGTAAGCTCTTAAATAGAGATATGCCTTATTTTAAATTTTATCAACTTATCAGTCAAACAGTTTTTTAATTTGTTATTCTATTAGTGTGCATTGAAATACATATCAATATGAAAAGATTCAAAATAGCTATGAAACCAATCACTTATTTTTAAATATTTAAAAGAATAAATTAAATACAAGTATTATTTTTATATTGTAATTTCTTTTGAAAAATAAAATAAAAATCTCAAATGAGAAATTATTCTTAGAAATATAGCTTTTAAAAATCAGACAAATGATTTTAGTATAATGAATAAATTGGTATGTGTATCATAATGTAAAATAGCCATTAGATATGTAAATTTAATCTTGGCAAGCCCAGCTTTAATTGTTTACATTCGAAAATGAACTTACTTTTGAACACCTACCTGAACAGTAACTAAAATAATCTTAACAATCTGTATCAGTAATTTCCATGGGGTTCTTTTCTTTGCCTTCAATTTTTCAATGGGGTCCATGAAAAAGAATTTCAAGCGCCGTCGCATACGATCCTCCATATCTGGTGTATAATAAGAAGGCATACGTTTCAAAGTAGGGTGCTGACGTACATGGTTTTTGATAGACTCATCGTCACTAATATCCCCATGGTTGATGGTGCCGACCATGGCTGCAGGCTCTGAAATTACAGCAATTGAGGTTTGTACTGAGTGAGAATAGAAAATACAAATGCTATAAAAGTTTTATAATCAAAAGAAACAATATTAAAATTTCTTTATATCAAGTGATAATGGGAAAAGGACAGAAGTAAAATGCTGTCAATCTCATGACCAAGTAACAAGTATATTAATTTAACAATTTGTTTTCTCATGAGAATTATTTCATCTATTGGAGTCTTACTATAAATTGCTTTTGCATATACAACAAATTTAACAGTAAGTCTGAAAGGAAAAAAAGAACCAAAAGTAAAAATTTAAGAACTCTTCAGTAGATGCTTTGTTGTTTCTTGCTTTCCAGCTTGTTGGAAATCCTCTTCTGTAGTTCCTGTTTTTAAAACAATAGTGAAACATCCAATTCTTTGAACTATTGATCTATTAGTCTTCTACCTCTCTTTGCCAAAATACTAGAGGCTCTAAGAAACCACAAATTAAGTCTTTCACCATAGAGCGTTTTCTTTTAAACAAACAATATGGCTTTCTCTTCTCTAGGCCGTGCAAATGTGTTAATGGCTATTGCTGAAAGAGTGTCAAGCTTTAGATAAAAATGAAGAAGCTAAGGTTGTTGCTAAAGATATCTCACAGAGTTTGGCAAACTGGTTTTCTGCACAAGAAGGATTATGGTATTTACATCCAATTTTTTGATTTGATTCAATCTTTTATGTCATGTAATAAACACAAAAAATAAAGTAACTAAAAAGAATGCTGGAAAAACTATATCAAGACTCAATTCTTCTACAAAAACAAAATCTGTCTGGAATATGATAAAGAAAATAGAAGGCGAATACCAAACAAATACTGTAAATCACCTATTAATAAATAAATCTAAAATAAACATTAAAAATAATATCACTAATCAACTAGTCAAAACAATCTCTAAAAATTCATCTGCCAAAAATGGTAGCCAACAATTTCTAAAGTTCAAAATCAGAAAAACAAAAACTAAACTTTAAATCAAATGATGCCAAGAACCTATCATTCACTCTGGAGGAACTAAATGAATCTTAAAAAAAAAAAAAAAAAAAAACACAATACAGCTGTGGGCCCAGATAACATCCACTATAAATTCATAAAACAGTTACCCAACAAATCATTACAACTGTTATTAAAAATCTATAACAACATATTGACAAATGGCAACTTCCAAGAGATGTAGGGACAATCTTTCATCATTTTTATTCCAAAACCTGGAAAGGATGACACAGACCCTGAAAACTACAAACAAATAGCATTAATCAGTTGCCTATGTAAAGCTATAGCGAGAATGGTCAACAACAGATTGACTTGGTACCTGGAAACTAAAAGCTTAATCAGTGACCTCCATAGTGCTTTTAGGAAAAAAGAAGCACCATGGACCACTTAATACATCTAGAAATGTTTGTAAGGGAAGCCTTCATCTCATAGCAGTCTTTTTTGACTTACAAAAGGTGTACAATATGACGTGAAAATTTGGTATCTTGAAAGGCCTGCAGGAACAGGGCCTAAAAGGAAAGCTGATTCAATTCATAGAGAATTTCCTGGAAGGCCAAAGATTTCAAGTCCATATAGGAACTACACTATCAGAAATGCAAAATAGAAAAGGGATTCCACAAGAAAGCATTCTTTTGGTGACCTTTTTCTACATCAAAATTAACTCCATAAATCTCTGAGCCCAGAAGTGAAATGCTCCCTATATGTCAATGACTTTCAAATCATGTACAGATCTCATCATATGCATACCACAGAAAGATAACTTCACTCCAACAATGCCTCAATAAATGTGCCACAAAAATGGTCTTCCCTTTTCCAAAATGAAAACCAAATGCATACATTTCTGCAAATTAAGGAAATTGCACATAGACCTCTGTTTAAAATTAGATGAAGCAGAAACCCCAGTAGTGAAACAACACAAGTTCCTAGGCATCATCTTTGACAAAAAATTAACATTCATTCTCCATCTAGAATATTTAAAAATAAAATGTAGTAAAGTCCTCCAACTTCTGAATATGGTAACCCATACTGAATGGGTAACAGATCAACAAACATTAATTAAATTATAAAGATCACTACTTTGCTCAAAACTGGATTACACTAGTTTCATATCCATTCAGCCAGAAAATCATGCCTAAAAATACTCAATGCAAACTATCATCAAAGATTCAAATTAGTACTTGTGGCTTTTAGGACATCCCCAGTGGAGATCTTATACACAGAAGCTAATGAAACACCTCCACATTTAAGGCATACTAAACTGACACTACGTCAAAATAAAATCATGCTCAACTAACCCAGCTTACAACAGTACCTTTAACCTAATTACTGCAATCTATTTCAACAAAAAGATCATACAATACAAGCCTACAGATTCAGGATGCCATCCATTGCTGAAGAGTTCAGGATCTCACTCTCAAATATACAAGAAACAACTGCAGCCAGTATTCCACCATGACAATCAAGCAACCCAAAGTCTTGTAGAATAAACTCCCTAAACAAAAATGCACACACTCACATTCCAGGAAAAGTTTTAGGGCATATTGGAAAACTACCCTAACCATACAATCAACAATTCAGACGAATCAAAGTATGAGGTCAAGACAGGATGTGCAGCAGTGAGCCAAAGCCTGAAATATTACAAAAGGAAAAAGTGCCTCCCAAGGGGAAGTTCTATTTTCATTGCAGAGGCTTAAGCAATAGAGCTAGCTCTGAATATCATTACACAGACCAAACAAAAAAATTTAATTTTTTCAGACTCATTATTTGTCCTAATAGTTTTGAAGAAAAAAAAAATCCCAAAACCCACTCATTATCAGATTATTATACAAAATGAGCACTACTTATAAAAATAAAGACATCAAACTATGTTGGATTCTTAAAGAGGAAAGACCAAAGTATTTTTTTTATTATTTTTTATAATCCTTAGTGCATGTCTGAAATTTTAAAGATTTTTTTTTTTAATCAGCGAAATTGCGAAAAATCGATGATAGCCCACCACTTTGAGAAATTTGTAATCAAAAGTAAAATTCTATGTTTAAAAATCTTGTAAAAATCAATTATAACTTTTGAAAAAGTTATTTGAGGAAAATTAGAAAATTTCAAGTTTACATAATGCAACTGGAAACAAACATTACTTAATTTTTTAGCAGAAAAAAATTTAGTTGAAAACCAGCATTGGAGACGTGAGCTAACGTTAAAGTTGATTTATCGACAGATTACGTGAGGGAAAGTTATCCGACGGATGGATAGATTGACACTATTTTCGAATTTTAAGTGAACCAGTTTATTGACAGTAATTTTTTAAAATTAATTAAGACTTACATTTGATGAGGATTTCTGGAAAAATAAAATTTAATAATTTAAAAAATCTAATATTTTATTTTACTTTTTAACGAAGATATGTCCAAAGCTTGCACTGTTTCCATCCCTAAAAATAAAATTGAAACTAAAAAGAAAATAATTAATAATTGAAATACATTCATTATTTTTTTCTTTTAAGTTAAAAGTTGTTGCTTTTCTAAGTGTTTCATTCAGTTTTAAAGGCAGGTGGCATTAAAATTATTTTGTTGTTATAAAAAAAAAATGCTTCTTAATCTAAAATTCTTACTTACTAACTCTTGGATTCCATTCCCCACCACCTACCAACGATACGTTTCATTTAAAACCTAAAAAAATACAGCAAATTCTTATTTATGATAGTCATATACAATGAAAGTCACACAGGTTAAAAAAAAAAATTAAGCATATAGTTTGAGTTAAAAAAAAAGTGTTATGTTGGGTAAAAAAAAAAAAAAGTTTAAAAGGATTTTCCATTAAAAAGGTTACTGCTTTTTTAGCAACAGCTGTGTGAACTTAAAAAAAAAAATCAAACCAAATAAGAAGTATACGGTATACCAACCAAATTTCATAGCAACCCTTTGATAAATTTTCGTTTATCATGTTGAATGAATGTTGACTTAAAAAGAAACCTGAAATAGCTGGATTTTTAGCTGTTTAAAGTAAGTGTTTAGTAAATGTAAATTTAATTTAACATAGTAATTAAAAAATAAAAATATAGAATCGTTTTAAAAAATATTGCTTTTAAAATTTAAGCAACATTTTCAAATGAAAAGTCAGTACATGGCGCAGAACAATTTTTTTTGCAAGTGATTTTCGATAGAGTTCAGAAGTGAGAGACATTACATTACTCACTGTTCATAATTTAATGATGCTTGTAAAAATTTATGACAGGATTGGATTTCCCGTACAAGTGTCTCTCCTTTGTACTGAGAGGGTTGGTCAAACAAGAAGAGTATTACCCACTGATTCATCATGTTCCATACCTGGTAAGTCCCTTCCCCATTCTAAAATGAATTGTCACATCTACCATTGTGAGGTAGCAAATGAACCAAAACATGGTTTTCTTTTTGTCTGAGACAGTTCTCCCATCGCACATATGCAAAACCTCCAACAATAACATCAATCGAGAAAAGACTTAAAACAAAAAACTTTCTACGAGGTGATGCCAAGAAATTCATGGCCAGACCAACCCCACTTTCTAAAAATCAGTAATTAATATTGGATCATTCAAATCAAATATTTTGGGCAGTGGGTCAGGTTGAGCATTTTTCTGATTCAGCTCGACCTCAAGTAAGTAGCAATCAATTGTAGATCTTTTACGATATTGACATAAAATCCCCCTACCTCGAACAAACTCTTGACAAGTGGCAATTAAAGAAATAAGTTACTAAAAAAAAAAAAAAAAGTTATTTTGGATTTAGTAGCGTCTAAATAAGAAATTACTTATAAAATGTGCACAGTTTCTTTAAGAAATAAATACGTAAATGATTGAATGAATTTCGTATGCTTTCAAAAATAAAAGAAACCGCGTGAACAAATTAAAACTTTTTCAGTTTTAAAAATTGTAAAGATAAAAACTAAAAACTTTAAAATTAAAACAAAATTAGAATCGGAAGAATAATGCACTCAGTCTTATTGTAATCCATGAATTTGTTGAGTAACAAGTGTAAAATTAAGTAAAAGTTTTACTTAATTTTACACTTGTTACTGTAAAACTACCTTAATTGCCATTTAAAGAAAGTAATAATGAATTTTTATTAGAGAGAAGTTGAAAAAATGCTTCAATAAACAATAGTTCTTTCAAAGTTTACGTCGTAAACTTTACGATCATGACTGCACTAAGACCGAGATCTCTAAGTATTTAAAATAGTATTTAAATAAAACTTTATAAAAACTGAATGAAAGTAACGTTGATTTAATAAAATTGAACAAATATTTTAAAGTTAAAAAAATATATATAAAAATAAATCAGTAAAGAAACTAAAAAGGTTATTGCTTCAAAGAAAATGAATGTTAGTGTTACTGTTATCAAGTCCAATCCTCCCAAAAGTTTATCAAATGAATTTCTATTTGTTTCTGTAGTTTGAAGGACAAAAATAAACAAACGATCAATTATCGTAGTTAATAATAATAATAATAATAATAATAGTCAAGTCAATAAAAAGTAACTTTTTAGTTTAAATCGTAAAAGCGGTTTTGTTCTAATTTCTAGATTCCAATAGTGATGAATTTAAAAAAAGTAATTTTAAATTAAAACTTATTCATCAAAGAGAAATCAAAAGTAACAAGCTGATTGTGATTATTTTCATTGATACAGTAATTTTATTTAAAACGACTCAAAACTTGACAATCCTTTTATTTTTAGTTTTACTTTTAAAGCTTAAAGAAAACGATTCAAGTGAAACGTAACAAGGAAAAAAAACTTTTTCTGATCTTTCAAATGCAGATAATCAGATAAATTATCATTTTTAATTTTAAAATGTTAAAAATATCTTTCAGATGCACAAAATTTTAAATCACATTTTTTTATCTCTCAAACTCCGCGTGTCATACACTGAATGAATAAAAAAAAATCAATTACTAAAAAAACTAAAATTAATTTGAAAATAAATGCATTTCCCTTTTTTAATCTACATTTATTTACATATTTATGTTATTTTTAAAGTTAATTAAAAAATAAACTAAATAAAACACTTGACTAAATACACTGAAATAAAAATTCTGTTAAAATCCCAAATCAAAAGTTTTAAAACATTTTTCAACTTCAACTTTAGAACTGAAATCTGGTAGACAAGGACAAAAAAAAGGGTAAGTGACTGTTCTATTCAAAATATACAAACGTAAACAAGAACTAAATATTTGTTTAAATCAAAGATAGACAAAAACTGTTAGTGTAAAATGTAAATCGGAAAGTTTCTGTTATAAACAAAACATTAGTAGCAGTGAGTAATAATAAGAGAAAATAATCAGAAGCAAAACAAACGTTAATACTCAAGATACAATTAGTAAGGAAAAAAGATATACTTTACCCATTATGAATCAAACGAGAAGTACCTCCACTTCTCGCCTTTACCGACATGTAAAAATCTGTTTTCTTTTATCAATTATTGTTACTAATCTCCATCACAAACTCGTGATTTGGACAACAACAAAATCAGCAGCAGCTGCTTGTTTGCCTTTGAAACTTTCTAAAATAATTCGGGGTTTTTTTAAGACTAAAATTAAAAATGTGTAATTTTTTTTTCATTTATGAAATTAAAATTTGAACAAAATTAAAATGACAAAATGTTTTTCCATTGCAATTCAACAGTAGACTAAAGAAAGTATTTTTTAAGCAATAATTCAGTTTTTTTTACTTTATTCTTCAGATAGTTTTTCTTCTTTTTTTTTTATGAATAATCCTTTCTCTAACTACTCAAGAAATAGACCTTTTGAGTAAATTTTCTAAATAAAAAAATTGTTATCCAATAATCCACCGAATTATTGCAATCAATATTCAAATAAAAACGAACTTATTTTTTTTTTTTAACCCAATGTAATTTTTGTAGTCTTGTTTTATTTTGAAAGGGACCCGACCTCGTTTGTCAAACATTTCAATCGGAATTTATTGTAGAACAGTACAGTATTACTGTAACTTAGGAGAAAAAAAAAAAAAACTAACCAAATTATCAATTGCATTTTATTCAGTTATTCTGAATCATGCAATAATTGTTTCTTTGTATTACTGAATTTGTTTGGATAAGCGCACGAAATTAACAACTAAGTTCCTAGAACCAAGCAAGTAAGAGTCAATGATTTCTTGTAGTGAATTATGATCCAAATACAAACTTTCTTGAGTACCAGTTATTCTACTGAAAAGTGAAAAGTAAAACTAAAAAGTGAAAAAAAATGTAATTGTTAAGTTTTCATAATATGGAGAAAGCTAAATATTTTGACATTAAGCAAACAGCTTTTTTTTTCATTCACTTTTTAAAAAAATGTCAGTGAGTGCTGAAAGGTTCTTGGCTTAAACCACATAAACAAAATTTAACAAAGAAAAAAAAATAGAAAGGTTTCTTAGACTGAGAACTTACCAACACACTATTTTATTTTTTTGTGTAGATTATATTTTTAGTTAAGTTGATTAAGTCGCGTGTTATTAACAACTTATTTTATCAATCGATGAATAAATTATTTACACTTTTACTTTTACAGAAACAGTTTTTTTAGACAATTTCTTCACGAGCAATAAAATTTTAGTCTAAAAATGAATTATTGATCAAGGCCGTTGAAAGAAAAAAAAAATACCACATTCATGTGAGTGAGCTCCTTGTGAAATTTCAAGAAATCAAATTTTAATTATTATTTTCTTTCAACGCCTTAATCAAGCGTGAAATAATTGATTGTTTATAATTTTCTGTACTCCAAAAAGTAAAATTCCGTTCTTTTGTGTGTGTTTTTTCACAGATGTTAGTATTAAAACTTTCTAAACAAGTTCACGTACCATAGGACGTAGTTTAAAAATGTTACTGTTATAATTAGCAAAGGAAGATGAATATGAAAACTTTCAAACACGCGTTTATCACCAAAGGAAGAAGTTCAATTTAAAATCGTCATACGTTTTTAAGAAAAAAGGTTACTTTTTCTTTTTTTTTTTAAAGTTAAAAAAAAAAAAATTATTATTTACATAAATAAATGCACTTGTTTGTCTTCGCTAAATAAATAGTAACACAAAAAAAACTTAAAATAACTTTAATAATTGTTTTTTTAATTCATGCACTGAAAAGTTTCATCAAATGAATATTAAAAAAAAAAAAACACTCCACTCCCCAGGAAAAGGTAAGACAAAAAAAGTATTTTTTTTTAGCTTCGAAACAAACCAATCTCTCACTCATTTATTTACTTACTCACTCTATCCAAATCAGACTCGAATCGAACAAAACTAATGACATAATCAGTGGCCCTAACTTACAAAATTACTAATAATATCAATTATTTCTAATTATGTCATTCCATAATTAAACGTTTGAAATCTGATAGCAATGGACATGATGATAATTTTGCTATTATAAAACGTCTCTAAATAACATTTTAAAATCATTATCATTATTCAAGTTTTCAACCATGTGTTTTTAAATGAGTTTAAAATGAGTAAATTACGTTATATTGCATTTTGCTTCTGCTTTTTAACAAACTTGATACTTATGGACGTGTTATGTAACAAATGAATAATGCCTAATGCAGTTTGAAATATTCGTGGTAGATAAATGAAACTGCTGAAAATGATTTGAAAGATTTAGAAAAGGCGATTTATGTGCCAAAAACATTGAGTTTAATTATTTAAAAAAACATCTTTTGTCAATTCTTCAATTATATTTCTATTAGTCTATCGAAATATAGTTGAAAAATTAGCTGAACAATTGAATGAAGCTGTTCAACAATTTACTGTCATTTTTACATCAACTTGAAATGAGACTAAACTTGGAAAATAAGTTCCATATCATTTGACAGAAGCAAAAATATGCATTTTTTAGGCATTCTTGTGAATGCATTTCACTATTTTTGGACAGATTGGTGATGAAAAATAAAGGAATACAGACAAATGCTTAGTGGAAGTAAACAGGTTGGAACATAACCCAAAATGGACCTGCAGACAAGAAGATATTTTGTTGTTTAATGGGATTGTATTGGTTCAATTCAAGTTACTACCAGTCAGTGCTATGAGAAACATTTGAACACTGCTTTGAAGGAAGAGACACCCAGTTTGATCAACTGCACAGGTCAAAAACATTTTTCTTGTGAGATTATAGTAAGTAAATAAATAAAACATTCAAAGTCTTATCCAAGGTTTGTAGAAATAAATCCAATCTTCAGAGGCAAGATAAATCAATTGAATTTATTAACAGATATCATACCTAAATTAAAATACCATGCATAAAAATTTTATTTTTTATTTGAACTAATATATATATTTATATTGAAGGACTTTGTATGAAAAAGTTTACTTGTAACATGTTTCATCCTTCAGGACTTCATCAGATTAAATTTGTTATGTTGGTACAAGGGGTGCTCAGGATTTTAGATTTTTTTTTTAATATCTAACTGAATTCATTTAGAGTCTTTTTCTTTCTTTCCATCACTTTTGTTAGGTATCCCACACTAGGAATAGATAAATAGAAAGTTCAATAACTTATCTGGACAAAAGTTTTGTAGATTGGCTCATCAGGGAAAGATAAAATCTATTAAATATATATATTGGGTTGGAACAAAAGCACATAGCATTATTAAGTGAATTTCAAAAACAATATTTAGATATTTGTACATAGATTAATTCAACCACATATGTGCCATTTTGTTCCATTACCTTTCAGCATCTTTGAGGCAGCTCCATGATTCCATGTTAGCAGAACATGGCATCATTCTGGAGATGAAAGTGGTTTTTACAGCCTTCCAGAGAATTGAAGTTCTTCAAGTGAATTTTATAGGGATCAAATAAATGGTAATCTCAAGGTACAAAGTCAGGTGAGTACAGCAAGTGTAATAGGACATCCCTGGCATTGTCTTGGCATAAAACAACACCATTCCAATTGACCATTTTGGGGCATTTTCATTGATTGATACCTTTAATCAGTTCAATTTGGAACAGTACTTGTCAGAAGTCAACATCTGATTTTGCGGTAGGAACTTGTAATAAACAGTGCCTTTCCAATCCCACCACATATACAGCATCACACTCTTCAAATGCAGACCAGCTTTTGGTGTGCTTTTCTATCTACATTGTTGTAAACAATCCACTTTTCATCACTTGTAGTAGATTTTTAAAAAATGGTTTATATATATTCCACTTGACTTTGAGCAGAGAATCACAGATGGAAATGTTGCCTATTGATTTTTTTTTCCTATTAAATACTGAAACATCCAAACATTGTAGCAATTTTTCAAATGCCTTACAATGCTCATCTCTATCTATAAAAAGCAGGATGTGTGTGTGTGTGTGTGTGTGTGTAACGAATGCACAGCCGCATTTTTCAATGGATTTGCACCAAAATTTACATGCACATGCTCCAAGTTAGCAGGAAGGCCAAGACCGACTTTGCATTTCCCAACTCCCATCGATAGTGGAAATAATCAATTTTTTCATGCTTCTACGGCAGTTTTCATGTAGTTTGCGGCCATTTTCTACTGGCCAGTGTGAGAGCCTATAGCTGGCTGCCACAAATAGGCAGGAAGATTCTATTGGCCAGCATGAGAGCCAATAGCTGACTGACATGAATGTTAACTAGCATGCAACAAAAATCGATAACTGCATTCGTCACAAGTGAGAAAAATTTAAATCTGCATGGCACTTTACTCCAATTGGCTCATTCGCTTGCTTAAACTCAACGTTGATTCTGATTCCACAGAACTGGGTTGGGTGTGAAAAAGTATTTGTTGTTAACATTCTTTTTTCATTCGGTTTTTCCAGTTACGAAGTCCTTTTTAAAGCTGATCATTTTGTGTTCATTTTGTTTAGTTCTTTTTTTTAACAGATTTAATGTTTAGTATAGAGCTTAGAAAAAAAAATTCACAGTGTGAAATAGGCAAGAAGTAAGGCATGTAGCAACATCAGCACGGCAAAGGGCACTCATTTAAAGGCAAGGAAGGGCAAAAATATTTTAAGTCAAGTGATAGCGATTGCTGTATTTAAACGATTTTTAAATCAAGTCATTAATAAACGCCAGGCTATGCTGCTAGCATAAGATATGTGAAGTATCTCTCCAATGTCTTGTGTCATATGACCTGAATTATTTTCAGTTAGCATTTCTATTTGGTCATCATCAATGACTAGCAGACCTACTGAAATGTTCTAAGTCTTCTAGATTAAAATTTCCAATTTCGAACCCAGTGAGCCACTTACAAACATATGTGTGACGTCCCCCGCGGGTGTCGCCGCTCCAAACGTGACGTCCGCCTGTCTGCATCAGTCGTGCTATCCTGTTTTGTGACGACCAACTGCCTTGGTATTGATCGCGGCACCAAATGTGACGTTCTAACCTTTTGGTGATTCGGATGGG